ATTTCATCTTCAACACCATCCTGAGCAAATAGAAAGAAGGAGCATAATCTTTCCATGGGGTTTTCCTTCTCTTTAGTTGTAGTTCTTTCTATAGTTATAGAGTATATTCTCTTTTTAATTGGATTATGTGAACACTATTGTAGGATGTTTTAAATTGATGATTGTGAATTCTATGATGTGATTAGCATGTTTGATTATATATTGTTTGAGTATTTTATCATGAAAATTGAGTGTCCTTGATCAATACCTCAATTTTGGGAAAATTAACCTCCGAGAGGGAAGATCTCCTTATGGTAATATGAGTCACTATTCAATCATCATAGAGAGTCATGAACGAGGGCAATTGGTTTCTTTATGCCTTTCCGAGTCATCGCTCGAGGGAGTGTATTTGATTTTCCTAATTGCCTAATTCGTTAGTTTGACATGCCTCTCCGATTAGAGCAATTAGGCGGGTTGGGACAACTCAAACAGGGACTCCTAACTGATTTTGATATCCTAATGGTATATATAATATGAAAAATATGCTAGAGTATCACGTCATCTCAACACGGAGTAGGGAGATAATCATCTGAGTGAAGCCTTCTCACTTGAATTCAACCTCGCTTTGCTTATTTAGTTTAATAGTTTAAAACAACGTTTCTACCGTAGATAATTTGTACTTTTCTTAAGTAAGGATATATTAACCATCCATGATTTATAAATTGAAATATATTTGCTCTATATTATAACCGATCATAGGTATACTTGGCATTTGATTGGGAGTGTATAGTTAGCCATAAGTAAAAAAAAAAAATTGGTGCGTTGTTGGGGAAAGCATGTTACACCCCGTTCTTCCCAAAAGTCAAAATGACTATTATACCCCTGGGTCAATTTCTGCCGTATCATCGATATGGACTAAAAATAGGAACTATCGGTTCAAGCGGTGTGGAATTTCGACATAAATTGAGAAAGTTACGGACATTAATTGAGTTTCAGATTAAACTCACCGGCAAGTGTGAATTTCCACGAATACCCTTGGACTAATTAAAACCCTAGAGCCTTACCCTACTTGGCTTCAACACTGAAACAAATAAAACTCCCAAAAAGTCAAAACACGGCGGCTCTTGGCCAAAAGAAAGAAAAGAAAATCGATAACAAAAAACCGGAATTCTACAGAAGAGCGGATTCACATCTGTGCATAAACTGCCTCTCAAGTCCCACCGCCGCTCATCGATTCCTTTGGTGAAACTTCTTCTCATCGCTCTTCCGCCATCGCATGCAAGCTCTCGTCTCAAGCTACTCCGTTGAGTCAAGGTTTTGATTCCACCGCGACTCTCATTTGTGTCCCGATATGAAGCCTGAGTCGAAGAAGAATCGTGGCAAAACTGGAGCATCATCTGTTGCTGATATCCAGAACAATGGAGTGGATTCATGCTACGATTTCTCAAACCTCTCCAATGCCCTTACCGTGATGCCGCCGCCTTCTATAGTAAATCCTACTGAATCCTCAACCATCTCGACAACTAGGAAGGATGGGGGATCATCGTCATTGGCTTATGATTGCTGCATTGAGGGCCAGGTCCCTAAGGAAAAGGGAATATCTCAGAATGAGGCATCTTTTTCTCGATGACATTATGTGTCCATCGACTCCTGTTCCCCGGGCTATGTCTGCCGCAGATGATGCCGCTATAAGACCGTCACAGCGCCTGAGAAACCACCCACTGGTCGGTTTTCCTTTGGTCGCGAATTGGACAAGGTCCCTCCATGAAGGGTTCTCAAACTAAGTGTAAAGGAGCCTCTTGTTGAGGAAGTGGCAAGGAGATGGGTCACGTCCTCATCCTTGGGAACTACTGGCGGCAGGGGAAAAGGATCAAGCTACGAGAAGAGTGGAGTTAGTGGCGGAACTTCTTGAACTAGGAATTGAATAGAGGGCATGATCAATTGACAATCAACGAGGGAATGATTCCCTTCCTTAATTCCAGGCGACGTGCTCAAGGTAAGGGTTTCGATACCTTTGGAATTATTTCATGAATGACGTTGATTGTGTTCTTAGTAAGCTATTGATAGACCAATAATTACACCTGTTTTTACCCCTATTCTCGAGCCGTTTGAGAGATTGATTATCGTGTTTTAAGCCGATTTCACGCGAGGTTGTACGTTTATGTCATATTTCAGGACCCAGCGTTGGAATCGAGGCGAAGGAACGAGATTCGGGTCAAAAGGAGCAAGTGAGGCTTGAAGTGTGCTCGAGAGCAAAAATACCCGGCCAAGAGCAGAAATACCCGACCGGGTATTATCTGGCCATGACCGGGGATTTTTGGCTTTGGGCGTCCGTGAGAAACAGAAGGGGGCCCGGGCAGGAGGCAAAAACCCCCGGTCGGGGATTCTTGGGACAGACCGGGGATTTTCCCCTGACATCAAAACGCGCATTTTAATTATACCCGGTCGAGACCCAAAATACCCGACCCGGTATTTCGACCGGGTATCGCGACAGTCAGCTTTTTAAGGGAAAAGAAGCCCAAAAATCAAGGGTTCCGGGTTTTAGAGAGACAAAGCAATTCCTAGAGAGAGAAAGCGACGAACCTAGAGTTCCCAAGTGCCATAGCTTGATCTTCATCACCATTGGAGCCCAGCTTGAGCTTGGAGAAGTGCCGATTGACAACCAGGAGCAGAAACTCATCCTTCACAGTATGATTTCCGCGTCTGAATCTGCTTTTGCTTCTCTCTCCATGGAGTAGTTTTCCCATTCATATGGGTATGGAGAACCCTAGATTTGTATGTTAGGTCTGATTGTATGAACCCAAGTACAGATTTCATGAGTTGATTATATTCGATTGAGGCTTGAATGATTGAATGACTTGAATCCTGATCAAATTCCTGTTGTTTCTGCTTTAACCTAGAATGAGAATATCTGCCTAGGTTGATAGAGCACCCTTAATTGAAGGTGGCGAATTGGTGACTTTAGTCGAGGAGCCAATTCGCTATTCTGTACCAAATTCAATTCAGTAGTGGAGGTTTGGTTCGTTAGGGCCTCAATCTGTTTACTCCGGTAGAGGTTAGTCGCCCGCTGGAGACTCAGATTGAGAGGGTCTGGAGACCTTTAGTCGAGATTTCAGACTGTTTAAGAACCTTCCGCAGTATAACATTCATGGAAACTGAACTTGGTAAATTACAATCCGGCTTAACTGCAGTCTAGGGGGAACCATATCCGGGTGACCTCTCTCGACTTGAAAACAACCGTTTAACTTGCTTTGTTTGTTTGTTAATTTGGACTTGCACTAAAGTTTCACTGCTAGATAACAAGAATTCACCGAGTAGTCATCAAATCTAGGACCCAGGTTGACATTAAAACCCAAACCGCTATACTACGCTTTAGGAAGTGGTTACACTAGGCCAATTTCTAGAGTGACAGTAGGAGTGAGTCAAGTTTTTGGCGCCGTTGCCGGGGACGGCTAGGTTGTTGAAGAAAAGTGATTTCTATTACTTCAGCATTTTCGTTTTCGCATTGACTGTTTGTTTTTCCCACTTGTGCCTTCACGGGTTTGCTTGCTTGATTGTGTGCCGGTAGTGCATGACCCGTAGCCAGTCGGGAGGTTTACTTCCGTTGAATCCGGAGATTGAACGCACCTGTCGCCAACTCAGGAGACAACAGCGAGCTAGACTGGCTACGGAAGAGCGCATAGACGGCCATTTAAGCAGTGAGTCCGAGGACGAGTACGAGATGGAAGGAGATTACAATCCACACCAGGGGAATCCTCACCAGGCTCCCCCGGCGAATCAGATCTTGGGGAACAACCCCATACCCCAGGCAGATGGGGTTCATCATCACCCACCGCCGCCGGGTCCCACCTTGGAGTACTACTACACTCCATGGATTGCTGACATCCGCCCGGTCATCCTCTACCCGCCTATTCCGGCGAACAATTTCGAGATCAAGCTATGCTAGATTCAACTTATTACATCCTCTGTCCAGTTTCATGGCTTGAAGGATGAGGAGGCAAGGGTGCACCTGTCCCGTTTCCTACAGTTGACGAACGGGTTCAAGCTGAACGGTGTCCCTGATGATGCAATCCGCCTTCACCTCTTTCCCCATTCTCTGGCGGGGAATGCTAAGAGGTGGTTGGAGACCCAGCCCCATTTGTCCATCACCTCTTGGGACGATCTGGCTGACAAATTCGTGCACAGGTACTATCCTGCATCGAAGAATACAGAGATCCAGCGGGAGATCACTCACTTCCGCCAACAGCCAGATGACTCACTTCGTGATGCATGGGAGCGGTACATGGAATTTTTCTGGCAGTGTCCCCATCATGGCTTTAGTGATGCATTCACAGTGGGGAACTTCTACAGTGCTCTCTCTCCAGAAAGCCAGAGGGTGATTGAGTCTCTATGCCCAGGAGGGGACATTCTTACCAAGACTCCACCTGAACTGAACCAGATGATCAATACATTGGCTGCTTGAGATCATTCCTGGGGGCAGAGCAGCAGAGGCAGACATTCCCGGGACCGTGGTGTGCACGCCATGGAGACCAGATCCGGGCTCGAGCAGCAGGTGGCTGAGTTAGTGCAGACATTGAAGCAGCCCAACATTCTTATTCCGGGCAGAGGTCTGGGCGGACCTCCCGTAGCTCAATGTCAGTGGTGTGAGAGCTTGAATCATCTGGTGGAGGACTGTCAGGCTATGCGGGAGTCCTCTACTCCCCAAGAACAGGTGGACTTCATCGCCAATTCTTGGCGCCTTGACCCATATAGCAATACATACAATGAGGGGTGGCGCTAGCATCCCAACTTTGCCTGGAACAGCAACGCCACTAAACCACCTGGTTTCCCAGCACCAGTGGGTGGTTTTCAGTAGAGGCAGCCCTTCCAGGCTAGACAGGGGCCCCCACCACAACAGCAGCCCTATCAGCCTAGGCAGGGGCAGCCATTCCAGCAGCCCCAGCGTCAGTATGTCGAGCCAGCAGCAGCTCCAGCTCTAGATAACTAGATGACAGAGCTGGAAAAACATTTTAGCGGCATTCATGACTACCAGCCAGGCGAATTTTGCCAGGATAGACCAGAGCATCGCCTCGCTGGAGGCAGGTCTGAGGAACCAAGGTGCTATACTGCAGGACCTCCAACATCAGATTGGAGGAATAGCCCGCCAGAATAACACCAAGGCACCGGGAACTCTACCTGCCACTACCATCCCCAATCAACAGGAGCCGCCCCAGCAGTTGGATGCCATTTTTACCAGGAGAGGTAAGACCATATCCGCTGATCTTGCCCCGGCCAAGCAGGAGGAACCACTACCTGCTTCAGCACTTCCAGCCGACTATGCAGAAGTGCGGGTGGAGAAGGAAGCCCCTGCTCCCAAGCCACAACCAGTGGTTAAGGAGCATGTGCCCCAGCTTCCCTTCCCCACTCGCCTACACAAAGACAAGCTGGAGACTGAGTTTGCCAAGTTTATGGCAATGTTGAAGCAGCTCAACATCAGCATACCGTTTGTGGAGGCACTGTCGAAGATGCCCAAGTACGCGAAGTTCATGAAAGATCTCCTCACCAACAAGAAGAAACTTGGGGATCTCTCGACAGTGTTGCTGAGCGAGGAGTGTTCTGCTATCCTGCAGAACAAGCTGTCCAAAAAGCGGAAGGACCCAGTGAGTTTTACTATCCCTCTTACTATTGGTCGCATGCATGTCGGCAAGTCCTTGGCGGACCTAGGCGCTAGCATAAATGTCATGCCATATAAGTTATATAAAAAGCTAGACCTAGGTGAACTTAGCCCTACTAGGATGAGCATTCAGCTAGCTGATCGTTCCATTGTGCATCCTAGGGGAATCATAGAGGATCTGCTTGTTAATGTAGGTGCATTCACATATCCTGTTGATTTTGTTATTCTTGATATACATGAGGATGTGGATGTGCCTTTGATTCTGGGTAGACCATTTCTTGCCACCGCCAAGGCACTTATTGATGTTCATGATGGTAACTGATCCTGCGTGCTGGGAATAAACAGGCTACTTTTTCTATGACTGAATTCGATCACTGTGCTATGATTGCTGTCACGCCTGTGCATGCCATTTCTGATCAGGTACACAAGCATGGCGTGTATCCTTTTGCACCTCTCATTTTGCAGGACCCTCCTATCATTCCTTCGCCGCCACTCCATCCAGTCTCGCCTCCGAACAAAAAGATCAAGGAGGAGTGGCGGCCGAAGCAGCAGGTTGCTAAGCTTGCACGGAAGAAGGGTGGAGAGCACTACGAGCTGGTTCCACCTCCTGCACCACGACCACCCTGGCCATCCAAGTACTCACTCTCCTGCATCTTGCCGGATGGCCAGGTCGAGCTGACCAATGCTGGTGGTCGCACCCGTCGGGTGCATGGCCACAACCTGAAGCTGTACCTCAAGAGCGACGTGGATCCGCACTTGGAGGCACCTGTTCCTGCACCTTCTTGAGTATCCACCATGGGCGTCCAGCTACAAGACGGTAAAGAAGCGCTTGTGGGGAGAGAACCCCACCACGGTTTGCATTTCTTTTTCCCTTTTGTCTGAGTTTTTGTGTCGTATTGAGTCATTTGCACGTCTGTGGTGAAGTTTGGTCGTCTGTTATGCCTCGATTTGGTGTTGTCGTGCAGGAGAGGTCGAAAATTTGGGCGAATGAGATTTTTGGCCGGAAGGGGGGCAAATACCCGGTGGTGGGCCGAAATACCCGACCGGGTATTTTTGGTCCACGATCAGGCCCCCTTCTGTTTCTCGGGGTGAAAAAGTGAAAACCCCCGACCTTGTCCCAAAAATACCCGACCGGGTATTTTTGGTTCACGGCCGGGGTTTTCCCAAGATGGAACGCAGCATTTTCAAACCCCCCGACCTTGACCCAAACATACCCGGCCGGGTATTTTTTGCTAAAGGTCGGGGATTTCCTTGCACTTGACACGCCGCATTTTGGAACCCCCGGTCGTGGAATCAAAATACCCGACCGGGTATATTTGAGCCCCGACCGGGGATTTTTGCTATTTATAGCAAACCCCCGGTCAATTTCTCTCTCGACCCTCATTTTTCAAAATTTTTCCCTCTCTCTTCCTTTCAAATCCTCTCCCCTCTCTCTTCTTGAGCGCCACCGGCCGTTTTCCGGCGACCTTCCGGCGGTTTTCCGGCGAGCCTCCCGGGTCATTTTTGGCCTCCGTCTCGCGTCGCTCACCCGTTTTTTGAGCCTTAGCTACAGTTCTACTTGCGTTTTCAGGTGTGTTTCTTGTTAACTGATCTTTCCTGGAAAATCGAACTGTAGATTGTAGGACCGAGAACTATATTTGCGTGCATGATGTAGAATAGGGTGAGGGATGCTTTGAGTATGCATGGTTCTATCTATGGTGTATGTGTTGCCCGTGTAATTAATGTGGTTGGTTCTGTGTTTATTGCCATGATTCCGGCTGAGTTGCTTGCGATTCAACCGGCTGTGCTTAGAACTGTTGGCCTAGGTGGTCCTTAAGTGTGGGGGAAGTGATGAACCCATGCTGTTGGTCCTGACAAGTTTTTTCTTAGCTCCACCTTTGGTTTGTTGCTTTTGCAGGAGCATGTCCCTCGACCATCCATTTGTGCAGAACCTGCGCGTGCACCCAGAATACGCGGACCAGTTCCGCGCGGTGACTCGGGGAAATTGGCGCACCACCACCATCTGGAGTGGGCAGTGTTCGAGCAGCTCCACTGCATACAGGAGCTCACCGCCGCCATCAGCCACCGCGATTGGCGAACACTGCTGACTATCGATGAGCCCACCTACACTGAGCTGGTGTGGGAGTTCTACACCACTTTCAAGTACGACAGCAGAGCGCCCCGGGACTCGTATGCAGTGACATTCAGGATGGGTGGCCACCCCAGGGAGCTGACCATTGACGGATTGGCCTACGCCTTGGGGATCGAGTACCACCCGTTCGACCGCCACGAGGTCGAGATCCCGCACCCGACCGACTGGAACCAGGACGAGTTCTACCGCCGGATAGCCAGTCGCGCCTATGGGTATGACTACTTCGATGCTGGCCAGACATACGTCCACACCCTCAAGCCGCAGTGGCACATCCTGAACCTGCTCATCACTCGCTCCATCGTCCCCAACGTCACCGGCTCGCATAAGATTCCGAAGCGGGTGCTGTATGCCATGTACTCGATGGGGTACCTGGAGCACATGCTCCACTTGGGTTCTTTCGTGGCCACCACCTTCTCCCGGTGCCACGGGAAACCCAACCACCTCTATTGTGGTCCCCTAATCACCCGTTTGGCGCGCCATTTCGACATCAGCTTCCAGGGACTCCATGATTCTTCTGCACGAGGCGGCTCCACCCCCCCTCAGCCGGGAAGTGCTCCACAATGCACTCCTCCTGGCCACTGATGGCACCCGTACCTAGGTAGATGGGCTTTCCATGCCTCATGAGGAGGCTGTGGATCTCGACGAAGACGAGGAGGACGCTGACTACTCCGACGAGGAGGAGGATGCGGATGATGATGATGATGGCGGGGCCATGGATGCAGATGAGCCGGAGCCCCCGCTCTCTCCACCAGGGGACCTTTGGCCACGACGGAGACCACGGAGAGGTGAGTCCTCCTCCGGTCCTTCTGGTCCGTCGATGGCTTCTGGCCCGTCAATGGACTTCTTCACAAAGCAGTTCCAATAGATGGGGCTCCAGTTCCAGCAGCTCGGTCTTCAGAACCAGCAGCTCATGGACCATCAGGTCCAGTTCTACCAGGCCGAGTACCAGTCCAGGCTGACGGTTGTTGACGAGCGTCATGGGAGTCATGGGTGCTCTCATCGAGCGGGAGAGAGATCGAGGCCGCCGATTGATGGAGTACTCGGAGCACCTGCCACCACCACCACCACCAGAGGATGGAGACGACGACCTCATGAACCAGATCGACTTCACCGGTCTAGGAGGCCCCTTGTGGCATGTTTTGAGTGTTTTTGTTTTTGTCAGCGTGCAAACTGTCTTGTGTCGGTTTAGTTTCTCTCTTTTTATTTTGGATGTTGTACTATTGGGCTGACCATTGGACCTAACGTATTATGTTTGAGATCTTTGGTTTCCTTTAGCTGTGCTTCTACCTGACTGGTCCTCTCTCCAGTCCGCTTCATTCCGACTGGTCCACTTCCAGTCTCTTGTAGTCCGTGCACACCGGTAACATCGTTCCCCTTTTCCTTCGCTCTTCTCCATTGAGGGCAATGTCGATCTTAAGTGTGGGGGGATGTTTATTTTTTGACTGCGTTAGATCTGTTTGTGTGCTTGGAGCCTAGTCCACTATCCAAATTTTAAATTTGAGGGCTCCAAGTACGTGTTCCTTGCAATTGCCTGCTCAGTATGCTTTGAATTGACAGTCTCTTTAGTAATGTGCAACCTAGGGAGGTAGTGTAGCACTATGGAGGATGTTGATGCATTTAAGAAGTCTCCTTTCTTCTTCATATTGTGTTGGTTGATTGTGTGAATTAGTGATCTTAGGACCCTTAAATTGTGTGGTGTTGTGGACTCTCTACCTGTCATGGACTCCTGTATCATGTTTTTGAAATAAAAGGTGCTCGAAAAATGTGCTTTAAAATAACGTCTCCCGTGCGAATAGGGCGAAAGTGTGTAAGGGGAGACGGGAATCCGTTCCCAATTTCCACCTACTACCTCCAGCCCCCTTACATGTATTTCCCCTGCACGAGGCTCGAGACATCCACTTCTGGCATGGCCGGTAAGAGCCGGGCTCCCGCAAAACCTCTGCTAGGTGGGAGCCCCCATTTTCTGAAAAGCAGGTTGGGACCCTTGAAAGAAAAAAAAAAGAAAAAGAAAAAAACAGAAAAACAAGCAAAAAAGAAAAAAAAGGGGTTCCAACCATCTTCAAGAAGAAAATAGAGCACCTTAAAAAGGTGAGTCCATGATCTTTTGTTTTTGAGAGTCCATTCGTCCACGATTCATTTGTCCTCTGTTCACTATTTGCCATGATGCCGACTCGAGACTAGCGCTCTCGCCGAAGAAGCTATGAGATGACTTGTGTGTTGGTTGACCTCGTAAGTTGCTAAATGATCTAGGAAATCCTCTACCTATGATCGGGGTTGTTGGTTGCTATAGAGGTCTGGAGAGTTGCATTGGTTTGAGTTAGGTTTGCTTGGGGACAAGCAAACGGTTAAGTGTGGGGGAGTTTGATAGACCAATAATTACACCTGTTTTTACCCCTATTCTCGAGCCGTTTGAGAGATTGATTCTCGTGTTTTAAGCTGATTTCACGCGAGGTTGTACGTTTATGTCATATTTCAGGACCCGGCGTTGGAATCGAGGCGAAGGAACGAGATTCGGCTCGAAAGGAGCAAGTGAGGCTTGAAGTGTGCTGGAGTGCAAAAATACCCTGCCATGAGCAGAAATACCCGACCGGGTATTATCTGGCCATGACCGGGGATTTTTGGCTTTGGGCGTCCGTGAGAAACAGAAGGGGGCCCGGGAAAGAGGCAAAAACCCCCGGTTGGGGATTCTTGGGACAGATCGGAGATTTTCCCCTGACATCAAAACGCGCGTTTTAATTATACCCGGTCGAGACCCAAAATACCCGACCGGGTATTTCGACCGGGTATCGCGACAGTCAGCCTTTTAAGGGAAAAGAAGGCCAAAAATCAAGGGTTCCGGGTTTTAGAGAGACAAAGCGATTCCTAGAGAGAGAAAGAGACGAACCAGAGTTCCCAAATGCCATAGCTTGATCTTCATCATCATTGGAGCTCGGCTTGAGCTTGGAGAAGTGTCGATTGACAACCAGGAGCAGAAACTCATCCTTCACAGTATGATTTCCGCGTCTGAATCTGCTTTTGCTTCTCTCTCCATGGAGTAGTTTTTCCATTCATCTAGGTTTGGAGAACCCTAGATTTGTATGTTAGGTCTGATTGTATGAACCCAAGTACAGATTTCATGAGTTGATTATATTCGATTGAGGCTTGAATGATTGAATGACTTGAATCCTGATCAAATTCCTGTTGTTTCTGCTTTAACCTAGAAAGAGAATATCTGCCTAGGTTGATAGAGCACCCTTAATTGAAGGTGGCGAATTGGTGACTTTAGTCGAGGAGCCAATTCGCTATTCTGTACCGAATTCAATTCGGTAGTGGAGGTTTGGTTCGTTAGGGCCTCAATCTGTTTACTCCGGTGGAGGTTAGTCGCCCGCTGGAGACTCAGATTGAGAGGGTCTGGAGACCTTTAGTCGAGACTTCAGAATGTTTAAGAACCTTCCGCAGTATAACATTCATGGAAACTGAACTTGGTAAATTGCAATCTGGCTTAACTACAGTCTAGGGGGAACCATATCCGGGTGACCTCTCTTGACTTGAAAACAACCGTTTAACTTGCTTTGTTTGTTTGTTAATTTGGACTTGCACTAAAGTTTCACTGCTAGATAACAAGAATTCACCGAGTAGTCATCAAATCTAGGACCCGGGTTGACATTTAAACCCA